AACGGGCAATTGGGGTCGAGGAGTTCATGCCTGAGCCTATCCCCCTATCGTTGCCCCTGGTTGCATCGGTCAGCGCCCCTCTTAACCTGGCCAGTGACCTGGCCCCTGGTTGCATCGGTCAGCGCCCGTGGTTGCATCGGTCAGTGCCCCTAGCGGGTACTTTGGCCAGTGACCTGGCGAACCCTACCCTCCCCAATGTGGGCAACGCTGCAATGCCAGACAGAAACGATGTTCGGCAGGCTTGACAAGCCTCCGTTGGTGAATACCCGCTGCAATGCCCTCGACTCGGTCAGGGACCTTCTGACCCGGGTCAATCCAGACCCGGGTCAGCAGAAAACCAAAAAACTACAATGCAGGAGCAAAAGACTGCAACGCAGGTCTTCGCAAACCCGGGTCAGCCAATATGCGCGGCCGCCTCGCGGCCACGAACGGCTCGCTAACCCGGGTCAGCAAAAGGGGGGTCTGCGCAGAAACTTGCAGGATCCGGTGCCCTGGCTGACCCCCGCTTGCATTGACCCCCGTCTCCAGAGCCCCGACTCGGTCTCCCAAGACTGCTCCCGGCGCCCCTGCGGGGGAAGTTGAAGGGGCCCTGGGACACACAAATAAATACACACAAATAAAAAGATTCCCCATATTTTCCCACATTTTCTGGGTTTCTGTCTTCCCCCCCACTTCCCATATGTTCGCATATGTTCTGGGAAGCGACGAATCATTGTGTCTGCGTGCTTTTGTCCCCTCCTGAGAAGTGGGCGGGGCTGCCCCGAATCCCCGTGTCGGGCCTGGTGTAGGTGGGCGATAGCTCGCACGAGGCCAGCTTCTCCGCGCACGCGGGGAGCAGCGCCGAGGCGGCGGCGAGGCCCAGCGCCCGGAGGGGGGCCGCGGAGTGCGCCGCGGCCATGGTCGGTCGGGTCCGTCAGCGCACGGGCGTCACAGGAGTTTGCTACGCTCAGCCAAAAAAGGCTGTCGACGGTCGAGGATGGGATCGACTGCAGAATTGGTTTGCCCCGAGAGGTCTGCGGAGCCATCACCACCTGCTAGCGAGTGGGACCCAGGGCGAGCAAGGATGCAGAAGCGAGGGCCACGCTGGACGCATTGGCGACGACGATCAGGGTTATGGTCGCTGCTGTCGTAGTAGAGAGAACGACCATAACCACCGCCGTGGTCGTCGAACCGATCATAATCATTATCGTTGCCGTCGCCGCTGTCGCCGTCGCCGATAAGGTCACCCCCATTCGCATTCGCCGTCGCAATACCCCTCGGAAATCTTGGAGCACCTCTTGACAAGGATAAGGGGATGGCAAGCAAGTGCTTGACGCGACCTGAAAGAGGCTTGGAGGGCGGGGGGGGGCGGGGGGAGCTAGGGGAGATGAGCGGGGCCAGGGGGGAGGCGGGAGGAAGACGAGGGAAAGGGGAGGAAAAGGGGGGAAGTAAAGGAGAAGGAGGGGAAGGTGAGTAGGAGCAGCAGCAGCAGCAGCGTTAGAGAGGGAGAAGGGGGGGAGGGTCGGGAGATACACAGTCCTCAATTCATCTTTCTCCTCCCGGCATTCCTCCTCCTGCAGCCGTGAATCGAGCCCTAGCTTGGGAGCACACCCACAGAGCACCGGCGACTCCGATACGACAGTGTAGTGATAGTGGTGAGCGGCCTTCAACTTGCCCCGGAGCTGCCTTATCCTCCTCCTCCTCTCCATCCTCGCTTCCGCGAGGAGGGCAGAGAGCGGAGGGAGGAGGGAGGAGAAGGAGGAGAAGGAGGAGAAGGAGGAGAAGGAGGAGAAGGAAGAGAAGGAGGCAGGAGGAGGGAGGAGGAGAGGAGGGTGGAGGAGAGGAGGAGGAGAAGGAGGAGGAGGAGGAGGAGGAGGAGGGACCAGTGTAAATTCAAGGCTCATCAACAATGTAGGAATCAACCCTCCCTCCAAGCTCCCTCTTCAGATGCCCCTACAAAGGATCATTTCCACTGAGGGAGCTGCCTCATTGGGAGACAACTGTTGAAAGAACCTGCAGCGTGCCAAAACAACACTCTCGGGACCCCAACGCCACGGATCAACCTGACTGTTGCGCCTTGATGATCCTGAATCGTGCCTGAACACCCTTCCTGGGACGTCAACCCCGCAAATCGGCAGAACTGTTGCACCCTCACAATCCTCAATCCTTCGAAAACACAATTTCTGGTACGTTGTCCATGGGGACCCGTGACACTCTTGCAAATGTTGAAAACAAATGTGCGCGGCGCTCCAGCGAGAACCACATCTTGACAACGCCCCGCCTTCAATCCGCAAAACCCTTGCAAATGTTTAAAACGAAAGCGCGCGGCGCTTAGACGAGAGCCACATTTTGGAAGCGACCCGCCCACCATCTGTGAACCTGTTGCCATATGTCAATCTTCAGGGTCAGAAATACTGCGGAAGTCTTACGCGAAACGCCCAGCCCGCACTTTTGACTGGCCTCGGGGTGCGACAGGGAGGACCTGCTTCTAAGGAAAAGGACTGGAAGGAGGAGGGCGGAGGAGGAAAGCCTCGGCCAGAGCGAGCAGGCAAGGGTCCGCCCGCGGCGAGGGGGCGGAGAGGGAAGAGCCGGGCACCCCGCTGGGCGCGCGCGCCGGCGCGGCAGGACGACGCCCTCCTCCTCGCTTCGCGTGGTCCGGCGCGGATTGCTCCCGCTTTGCGTTTTCGTGCCAGCGGCCACCGCCAGCAGCGAGGAGGGCGCCCTGCTCCCGAGGCACTGTAAGGTGGGAGGCAGCAGCGAGCGGCCCGGCGCCGCATCGCCGATGGCGCTCCAGGCTTCTACTGGGAGCCAGCGGCAAAAACGCGCCACCTGCACATCCTCCTTCTCCTCCTCCTCTGCCTCGTTCTTCAAGTATCCCCGCCACTCTCCGACTTCTCCTCAGCCGCCAACTAACTCCTCCTCCTCCTCCTCCTCCTCCTCCTCCTCCTCCTCCTCCTCATCCGCCTGCGCATCATGCTGTTACTACGACTACGACTACAACTACAACTACAACTACGACTACTACTACTACTACTACTACTACTACTACTACTACTACTACTACTACTACTACTACTACTACTACTACTACTACTACTACTACTACTACAGACTACTACTACTACTACTACTACTACTACTACTACTACTACTACTACTACTACTACTACTACTACTACTACTACTACTACTACTACTACTACTACAACTACTATTACTACTACTACTACTACTACTACTACTACTACTACTACTACTACTACTACTACTACTACTACTACTACTACTACTACTACTACTACTACTA